AGCCGCATGGCTGTGATTGTGTTTTGTTGCTAGGGGTGTTTGTGGTGTCCGCGGTCGCCCCCTTGAGAGAGCCATGGGTGACTCGGACAGCTCGAAGAGACCCCGTGTCGACGGGGATCAACAGGACCTCAGTCGTGTGTATGAAAGAGCTCTGGCTGAGGCAAGCATGCAGCTTAGAGGACAGACTGCACTGCGGCTCCCCTGGGAAAAGGGCATTTATGCTGAAATCTTCAGTGGGAGTGAGCTTCCGAAGATGCCTTCTTTGCCTGTTCCTGCAGTTTTACCCGCTGGCGATGTCACTAGGCCAGGGGATAGTCGCGAGAAGGTCTTGAAGCGTTCATCCGATCCTTTGCAGAAATTCGACAGGGCCGTCTTTAAGCAGTGCATCAAGAAGTCAACTGTTGAGGCTGGTGGACGGTCTAACACTGACAGGGAAGCAGTTTATCGACGGTGGCTGTGTGTCATTGGTCACAACCTGGCTGGTTCCCAGCTTGGTAAAATTATTTCGGAAGGGGCCGGCGAACCCCTTCAGTTGATCTCAGAAGCTCTTGAGGGAAAGAGCACTAGCACATTGCTCAACAGGGTTCGTTTCGTGGCCAGGATTCTTACTTGGGCAGCTGAGAGGAGTTACACATTCTTCCCTCTTAGGCTAGATCTGGTGCTTGAGTTCATGCGGACCCTTGAGACTTACAGTGGAAAGTCTCAGTGTGGCGAGACCATCAACTTCTTGATACATGTTGTTGGTATTCACTCGGAACCTGATATCCTGAAGCATCCAGTCATCAAGGGCCTCCTTCGAGGCTCCCAGATGACAGGAATGGACGTGAAGCAATCTCGCGTGCTGACAGTTTCCGAAGTCCTAGCCCTTGAAGACTTGTTGGGAGACGAGTCGTTGGACCCTGTTGACAGGTACGGTGCTGGAGTTTTCTTATTTCAGATTTACAGCCGGGCGAGAGTTTCTGATATCAGGAACATACAGCGATTCGATGTTGACCTCGAGGGTAACGATGGATACTTGGAAGTGAAAACCATGGACCATAAGAATGCTAAGAAGGGTAGGGGTCTGGGTCAGAGTCTTTTGCTCATCGCTCCTGTTCGAGGGCTTCGGGATCACTCCTGGGGCTTGCAGTTCCTTGATGTTGCGAAGCAAGTGGGACTAGACCTACGAGGAGGGCACCGTGGACCTCTACTTCCCAAGCTTACTGCCGACAATCAGTGGGCAGGTGAGGCGGTCAGTGCAAGTGAGACAACCGACTGGTTACGAGGGCTGCTGTCGCGCGCATTGGGTGATTCCTTCAAGGAGGGATTAACATCACATGGCTTGAAGGCCACCACTCTCTCGTGGCTCACTAAAGCAGGATTTTCTGATAAAACTTGTCTTATATTGGGGCACCACTCTCGCGGTAAGAAGAAATCTCTTTATACGTACGGGCGAGACGTACAGGCCCGGCCGTTAAGGGAGCTACAGGAATGCATTGGGCTCATCAAGCGGCACGTTTTCCATCCAGACTCTACCCGTAGCGGCATGTTCAAGTCTGTGGAGCAGTCTGAGCAAGTTGCCAGCGGTAGTGATGCTCTCGAGGATGCAGCTAAGCAGTTCATCGCGGCGGTCCCGGCTGAGACACCAATGGAGCTCGGCACATTTGGCGAGGACGAGAGTAAGCAATCAGACTTAGATGCCATCGAGGGTTACGATGACGGTGGTGAGCACCAGGCGGCTTCAAGTGAGTCGGGTTCAAGCACCACGAGTTCTTCGGGGTCCTCTGATGAAGCTGTTGATGCGTATGAGAGTTTTTCGGACGGGAGGGTTCTGGATAAAGTCATCCCACCCCTGGGTGTTGAAGTGGACTTGGATGTCTTCCAGAACCCAAAGACCAGATCGTTGCATACGCGGGCTAAAGGTTCGCAGGGGCCCTTGATGTGTGGTCGTAAGACCGAGGGCATGAATCTTTTCTCCGGAAAGGTCTTCAGCAAGCATTGGATTTGCAAGCAGTGTGAGCAGGCACGACCTTTGAGGGACACTAAGGCGGTCTTGAATTTTCTTGATAGGGCCGCCAGTGTCAAGAGAAAGAGCGCAGGACCGGAAACATCACGCTGGTGATGTCCTGCAGTTTTTGTTCAGCACCACCGGCGAATCCTGGGACCAGGGTCATTGCGCGGATCCCCGGAGCGAGGGCTATGGGCCTGCATCGCAGCTGAAAGTGCTGCCTGCACTCGCATGCACATTCTGTAAAAGGAGGATTCTGCTGGAAGGTGATGCTAGAGTGGTGGCCACGGGCCTGCACTTCGCCTGATTGCTGGTGCAACCACCAGCAACATTGCGAAGAGGAATCATGCCATGCACGAGTTCCGTGTCAAAATGCCGAGGGATCTGCGCTGCAGAATGCATTAAGTGATGCAAAGGTTGGGATCGCAATTTGCCGACTACAATCAATTGACTGTCAGTCAAAGTCGTGATTGCAAGTTTGACATGCAGGTTATTTCGATCTTTCATTTGGCACAGGCCAGTGGAGACTTAGGTCCTTAGCAGACATGGCGGTGCCTCTGACTGAGTCCAAAGCTGTTTTCACGGAACGGTGTGAGTTGGCGGGGCTACCTGTTGCCACCAGAGATGTACTTGTCGGCAAGAATTTGAATACCTTGGCTAGCCTGGCATTTGCAGCGGGACAGCCGGGCGAGATGCCCACAGATGCTGCTCTGACCTCGCTGGCATGTGCAGGGGATGAAGAAGTTCCGATTGCGACATTGGCATCATTGAGGCGCCTCGTCTTCGAGGCTCAGTTGCTCATGACTGCACAGGTCAAGCAGCTCATCGAGCAGCGATCCGACGATCAGAAGGCCGAGTTAGCACCGGCAGAGAGGACCGAGAGGATTAAACGACAAGCCGAGCGTCTTAGCGGAGTTGCTCTTCGAAACGAGACTGAGTGTTCCCATGGTTCATATGACTTAGTGATGCGCATGGTCCAAGAAAACACCATTTCGTATCTTTCGCCAGCTCGTTTCCCATCTCGGCAGGCTGAATTGAGGCTTGATAAACCCAAAAAGGAATTGGATGTCGTGAACTCGAAGATCACCTTGAAGGATCAGGTTGTCGATCTTCAGTGTCAGCTGAGTACGCCGCTGTGCCTACATCATGCTCTTCATCGGCGAGCCCTAGCGATGGACCTCGTAGGGATTTGCAGTTATCATGTGATCATGGAGTTCCATGAGTACTTGATGTCGCACCTCACAGTGGAACCACCGCCGGGTTACAATCACGTCACCATTCATCAGGTTTTGTCTGCAGATCGTGCAGCTTGGCTTCGCCTGGCGGAGAAGCTCCCTAAAGGCCTTCGAGCTGGAGCTGATGGCAAGCTTCCACTTGACCTCGAGTTGCCGTTGCTTCAGGGGGATCCTAAAGTGGCTTTTCACCTTTTGCCATTGGGTTCTTCTGCTAGTTCTAGTGGCGGCAAGCGACCACATGAAGAGACACCGGTGCCCGATCCCAAGACCCCTCGGAAGCAGTGGAAAGGTTTGGGCAAGGGCAAGACCAAGAATAAGACCATCCCTAAGTCTATGCCCCTCTCCCTCAAGGATAAGTGGTCACGCACAAAGCGCGGGGTTCCGATCTGTTGGTCTTTCAACACCGAGGAGGGCTGCACCGCTGCTCCAGCGGGTGGTCGCTGCCCGCGCGGGGTTCACTTGTGTGCAGAACCTAATTGCCAGAAACCTCATTCACTTGTCAACCACACTAGGCAAGCTGGGGCATGAACCTTCACGAATGCCGGGTGTGACTTGGTTGAGGACCTGCAGGTTTTCCTTGATCGGGCGAAGGCCCGTGTGGCAGGAGTTTCGATTGAGTCGCTTTTCGGCGTGGAGGTTTTCGCTGGGTCGGGTCGTTTGACTAGTGAGCTTCGACGCCTGGGGCTTTGTGATAGCGTTGGTGTCGATAAAAGTGTTGGCCGATGCTTGATTGCACCAGTGCTTCGCCTTGACCTTTGTGATGAGCAGGCATGTGAACTTTTGATTCAAATGCTTGACAATCCCCATTGTGCTTATTTGCATGTTTCGCCGCCAATCCCAGGGCGGCAAAATCGCAGTCTTGAGCACCCGGACGGGTGCCCAAACATGAACCAGACATCTGCAATTTTCGAGGCCTCGCGGAATTCCTTGTACGAGCTCTGCGGGAAACTCTTTGGTATGTGCTGGTCGAGGGGTATCTTATTCTCTTGTGAAAATCCTGGCCACTCATTTCTGTGGCGCACTTCGCACTGGGGTAAACATACTCTGTGCATTCATTCCATTGAGACGATGTTTCACATGTGCATGTGGGGCTCCTTGAGCCCGCGCCTTACTCGCATCGTTCACTCTGTTCCCTCATTAATGCAGCTTGGCGTTCGTTGCTGTGGTGTGGGGCCAGGACATAAACATGAATCTAAGCTGCACGACTCCACTTACACGATTGATCTCAGTCGTGCTTGGGCCCATGCCATCGTTGATCAGCTTGTTCAGTTGGGCGCGGTTCCCCGTGCCCAGTCTTTGCCTGATGCATCGAACCCGCTTCATCGTAGTGCTCAGGTCGCTTCGGATTCTCAACCGACACGCAAGAAAATACCGCCAATGGTCAGTGAATTTCGCTGTGTCATAACCATTGACACCCCGCAGCCTTTCTTGCCAGGCGACCTTAAGAAACTGGAATCATCTGTGAACATTCCAGCCAATGCTAGGACCGATGGTGATGTCCGTGCCCTTCCACCTGGCTCGCGAATTCTTCGCAGGCAGCTGCTTGGGGTGAAGGAGCCTGCTCCAAATCCGGAGCCACCGCAAGTCCCTGAGGGCCCTGTTCAAAATCCAGAGTCATCTCGAGCCTGTGTGGACTCAGCTTTGCACCCTGCCGAATCTTTTGCCAAGAAATGCCTGAGCCAGTCCTTTATCAAACCTGAGGATGTTGTTCAGTTCACGAAACTTTTGGAGTCGGAGAAGCCGGCTAGGGGTTGTGAGATTGACGGAGAATTTTCATTCACGGTCGGTGCTTTCGTTCACGGGGGCGCCTATGGCCTTAGGAAGCTCTCTGTCAGTTTCCCTCTGACGACCCAGGTGTTCACTAGGTTTCTTCATCGGCAGTGCCCAGATGCTGTCTTCACTAGCCTTGCGCTCTTGAAAAACATCCAAACCAGGATGCACATTGACCCCAACAACTCCCTGCCATATTTGAACACAGTGGCCAAGGTTTCCGAATTTAAGGGAGGGGAGCTGTGGGTGTGTTCCGACCACGGTACCGATCTTTGTCCGGACCCTGAATTTCAGCATCTTAAAGGATTGAAGATCCCTTTCGAGGGCAATGTCATTCGGTTTGATTCGCACCTGCGGCATTGCACTTACCCTTGGTCCCAAGGACCCAGGGTGGTGCTTGTGGGTTTCGTGGTCAAGGGGCCTGAGCTTATGCCGGCAAACCTTTGCGAGAACCTAGTGTCCCTAGGATTTCGTATGCCCTTGGAAGCTGCTCCCCAAACCAACCATAGCTCCTCACCGGCAGGGCCCGAGGAGTCTTCTTGGCATAGGGTTGTGGTAGGCATTCCTTGGACCCCAGACGAATTTATCTCCCGAGCTCTAGCTGCCAAACATCCCAAACATTTGTTCACCGGTCTTCCTCCCGAGCTGCAGACGACACTTGACATTTTAACAAGCAAAAGCCCTGCCGAGATCGGGGCCACCAGGACTGAGCAGCTCAGGAAGTGGGTTGGCCGCGTTCAGGAGTTGGCGCCTGTGGAGCAGGCGATCAAGCAGCGCATGACTGATAACTGTGCTAAAATTCTTCGAAGCAAGAGGCTCGCGGTCTTCAAAGAGTTGCTTGAGGCCAGCAGTCACAAGGACGAAACAATAGTTGCCGACATCGCTGAGGGTTTCAAGCTCAGCGGCCCCATACCTGCGTCTGGGGTCTACAGGCCCAAGCGAACTTCTGCCACTCTCACCACGGCTGCTCTGAGGAAATCTGCACATGTGCTCAGGCGGGGGATTGTACACTCTACTAAGGGTTCTGGAGATGCCGAGCTTGACCGAGCCACCATCGAGGCCACTCGCGATGAGCTTAGGCGGGGCTGGCTCTTTGGACCGGTTTCGGAAACGGACTTACCTGATGATGCAGTGGTCACCAGACGATTTGGGATCAGACAAGGAGGCAAGTGCCGTCCCATTGACAACTACCTGGAGTCAGGGGTCAATGCTACCACGAGTGCCAGCGACACAATAACTGTTCATTCGGCGCACGTTCTGGCTGCTGCATTGTCTTATCGGATTCACAAGTTGAGGTCACTGCGACGATCATCTAAACTGGTTGCCCGAGCCTGGGATCTTTCAAAAGCATACAAGAATCTAGCTTTGCATCCAGACTCTGTATCCGACGCTTTCTTGGCTGTTTGGAACCCAGACACAAGGTGCACAGAGATCTATGGACAGTTGGTATTGCCCTTTGGGGCGCGGTCTAGCGTGCATTCTTTTTGCAAGACCTCGCTTGGAATATGGATTATTGGGGTCCACGTTTTCCTGCTCCATTGGGGCGTGTATTTCGATGACTTTGTGGGGTCAGAAGAACCATGCTTGGCAAGGTTGTTTGAGCTGTGCGCCGATGGACTCTTCGCTTTGTTAGGCTGGGCTACATCTTCGGACAAGGCATCAGAATTTGACACCATTGCTCAGGTCTTGGGGCTGAAGATCAACTTGGGCGAGGCTTCGCTTGGATTTATCTACTTTGAGAATACCGAGCATCGGCGTGATCACTTGGTCGCCACCCTCAACGACATCATTGATTCATCGTTCCTCAGTCGCAAGGATGGTGAGCGATTGCGTGGCAGGCTTCAGTTTGCTGAGCAGCAAATTTCCGGTAAGAGAGCGGGATTGGCCTTTAGAGAGCTCTCAAAGCATGTAGCGAGTGGGGGTGGTAGGTTAGATCCCGGTACCCTAAGTGCCCTCCTTTTCCTTAAAGAACATGTGGCATCTACTCCAGCTCGCTGCATTGCTGATCGGTCGTGCTACACTTGGCACCTGTACGTCGATGCTTCCAATGACGATTCTAAGTCTGGCATCGGGGGTATACTCATTGCAGAGACCGGCTCCTACATCGGGCATTTCAGCGAGTATCTTGACGAGACAACTTTGGCCGATTTGAATACCTCTGGAAGCGAGAATCCAATATTCGAACTTGAATGCTTCGCTATTTGGTGTGGCATTTGCAGCTGGGCCCGACTTTTCCGACATTGTCATTTGATTATCTTTACTGACAATGATGGCGCTTTGCATTCCATGATTAATGGACGCAGCGAGAACGATTCAGGTGGCCGGATTGTTTCTGCCACGCACAATCTTCTTGACGAGCACTTTGTACATCCGTGGTTCGAGCGGGTTAATACCAGCTCGAATATAGCTGACTTTCCATCAAGAGGGATATCCAAACAAGAGTGGGGCATCAAAGTTTCGCTTGACTTTCAACGTCTCGCACGAGTGGCAAGGACAGG